CTCCAGTTTCATCTGCTGGAGGTTTGAAGGTAAGGTCCATGTGGGAAGGATGGGACAGGTTCCTTGTATAAGAGATGGGCTCAAAGCTTGAAAGTGATTGGGCGGGGTGGGTAGAGATGCGGGTGATGAAGAACAAAGTATGTTGGACTCAAAAGGGCACTGCTAGCCAGGCGCCGGTGGCTCATGCCTGTAATCCTAACTACTCAGGAGGCTGAGATCTGAGGATCGTGGTTCAAAGCCAGCCTGGGCAGGGAAGTCTGTGAGACTCTTATCTCCAATTAACCACTAGAAAACCAAAAATGGTGCTGTGCTTAAGTGGTAGGGTGCTGGTCTTGAGCTGAAGAGCTCAGGGACAGAGCCCAGGCTCACAGGTCAAGCCCCACGACCACCTCCCCTCACCAAAAAAAAGGGAGGGGCACTGTTTTAGGAGTCTTGCAAACTGCCCTCTCTCCCCTCCTGCCTTTACTTGGAAGGGGGAAAAAAGTGGCTCCTAGGGAAGATCCGATGATAGCTTAGACTAGGGAGCCCAGCTGGATGCCTTCCTCCTACCCCCAACTTCTTCCCAGACCAAAGCTGCCACTCTGAGCTGCTCCAGCTGTTGTTCCTCTGTGCTCCTTATCTTGCCTTACCTTCTGTGAGACAGGGAAGATCAGATAAAGTTGTTGGTGGTGGGGAAGGCAATACCGTAGTTGGCAGGTGGGGGTTGGCTCTTCTGTAAACAATCTTCAGGGCACAGAGGGAGGGGAAGAGAAGGGACAGCTGGTGTATGGTAAATTTCCTTTAGAGCAGACATGATTTCATGACTGAAAGAAAAAAAAATGTTGCAGCTGGGTACTGGAGGCTCACACTTGTAATCGTAGTTACTCAAGAAGCTGAGATCTGAGGATAGTGTCTCAAAGCTAGCCTGGGTAAGAAAGTCAATGAGACTTTACCTCCAATAAGCCACTAAAAAGCCAGAAATGGAGCTGTGGCTCAAGTGGAAGAGTTGACAGCTTTTAGCAAAAAAGCCAAGGGACAGCTCCGAGGCCCTGAGTTCAAGCCCTGGTATTGGTGTACACACACACACACTCTCTCTGTCTCTCTCTCTGTCTCTCTCTCTGTCTCTCTCTCTGTCTCTCTCTCTCTCTCTCTCACACACACACACACACACACACACACATTGATCTTTGTTAATTCTTTTGAAGGCAGAGGGGATCATAACTTCACAAAGTCATTTCTGCTCTGTGGTGAGGCCAGGTGTGACAGCAGAAAGACAAGTTTTCAGGCCTCATTGACCACACCCAAATGGTACTTACTACTGAAGTTGTGTGGCCAAGAGGTTTGCCAAGCAAACCTCTTCAAACCTCAGTGTTGGTGGCAACCAACAGAACAGTCAGCATCACAAGACTGCTGGGGGAATGAACTCAAGATATGTCAGTAATTCAGAGTTAGTAGCCTTCAGTGATCTGGGAGACCCATGTGGAAATGCAGGGTTCTATCTGCATGCTAAAGCTCCCTCAACCTGGCCTCCTCCTGTGGTGGGAATACAGTCTGTTTTTACTGCTCAGTTCTGGCAGAAGAGCCACCTGCTGGAGACCTCCTTGAGAAGTATTTCAGTCAGTAGGGCAGATAAGGCTCTGATCACTTGGTGTTTTAAGGGCCTGCTGATGAGGCCACCTCCCCAGAGAGGTGACTCTCCTTGTGTGTGTATGTGTGTGTGTGTGTGTGTGTGTGTGTGTGTGTGTGTCCTGATACTGGGGCTTACACTCAGATCCTCGATGTTGTCCTTTAGCATTTTTGCTCAAGGCTAGCATTTCTATCATTTGAGCCACAGCTTCACTTCTGACTTTTTGGTGGTTAATTGAAGATGAGTCTCATGGACTTTCTTACTTGGGCTGGTTTTGAACCACAGTTCTCAGCTCTCAGCCTCCTGAGTAGCTAGGATTACAAGTGTAAGCCACCATTGCCTGGCTCTGCTCATATGTTCTAGATCACCACTGGCTGGTAGGAATAGGGGATTGAGTAGAAAACTGTACTCCTGGGGATTTTGAAACCCAGATCTTGTACCCTAATCCTCAGACTTGCAGTAAACAGAAGGGAATCTTTGGGATATTGAGAGTTGAGTTCTATGAGTCACTTCAGGTCTGAATCTGGCTCCACCTCTACCCCCACTCCCTAGTATGCCCTTTCCCATGTCAGCTCTGGCCTGGTTAGGCTTTCACTCTGTGTCCTGGATGCTGTACCATCTCCAAGTCCAGGCATCTACAGCAGCTCAGATTGGCTGTCTCCTGTCACCTCTATCACCTGTCATTTGCCCCTTACCAAGCAGCTGCCTGGCCCTCCCATTTTTCTGTTTACTTGGGTATCAGGCCTATGTCTCCTTGAGTATTCTGTATTGTTTCATTTTTACATCTTCTCAGATTGCAATTTATTGAACAGGTCAATGCTAAATCAATGTTTGGAAATGTTGAGTCTGGTTGATTTGGATTCCTTTGTGTTTTTGAGCAAACATGTTGAGGGGAGGTAGGGAGATGGAGGCTGTTGACCTCTAGAGCATAGGGATGTGTGAGAAAGATATGGAGTTGACTTTTGGGGTCTCTGAACTCCTGAATGAACTACTGTGTCCCAGGAATCCAAGCGAATCTCATAGGGTAGATACAAAACCAGCCTATACATACTGACACCCAAGTGTTTACATATATGTGATCAGCCACTACTCATGTTTTCCCAAATCATACATATATGCCAGAAATCCAGAGATGTTTTTAGAAGTATGTAAAGATGAAGCCATTGTTCCAGACTGTGTGGAATTTCCTGTTTACAATAGGTGGCAGAGAGCTGAGTGTTCCCGCCTAATTGTTCTGTCCCTTATGACCATTTTGTTATAATGTATAACTTTGTCACATGAATGAACTGGAAACAGGCCTGTAGAAAATTCTTTCTGGCTTGGCCCAAGATCTAACCTGACTGTACATAAATCATCTTTAGCATTCAGTTGTGCGGATTTATTTCAACACATGTTTGCCCATGGCCACGGTCCATGGGCCACATTTTGAGTAGTGTGATTATAGTCTTCTGGAGTTGGAATCCCCCACTTCAAAGGAACTATACTAGCAGCCATACTTCCGGCCCCCAGATATCCTGTTTCTTTCCTTCTTCCCAAGTAGGTAAGTGCCAGATTTCTTAAATACCATGTTTACCTTTGGCCTGGAAGTTCTCTTTTGTTTCCTAAATTTGATCAAGAAGTTCAGGTTGGCCTCTCCCAAAGTCACCTCACCAGGTTACCTGCTTGTATCTCACTGTGATATACCCCTCACCATCCCTCAACAGTGATGTGGATTTTCCAATCTATGTATGTATGTATATATGTATGCATGCATGCTTGAACTTGGGCTTGAACTTGGGGCCTGGGTGCTGTCCTTGAGCTTTTCTGCCTAAGGCTAATGCTCTATTATTTGAGCCATATAGATCCACCTCCAGCTTTTTGTTCATTAATTGGAGCTAGAGTCCATGGACTTTGCTGCCCAGGATGGCTTCAAATTATGATCCTCAGATCCTGAGTAGTTAGGATTACAGATGTGAACAGTGGCAGAATTTTCCAGTCTTTGTCTGATCTTCAGATACACCCTTTCCTGACTGGATCCTTTAGGGAAGAGTTGTGTCTACGTTTGGTGGGTCACACTCTTAAGACCTGACCCCAGTGGTTGAAGCATGTAGAATCAGTCAGAGTCTTAGGGAGGAAGGCACTGGGATGAGTCCATCCTAGGATGGCTAGAGAGCCAAATGGGTACTCCTGAGATCTCCTATCCAGGGGGAGCCTTATTACGGGCATTCAAGCTTCAGCTGGGAACAAGGCTGGATTCAGACAGGAAAGACCCTTTGAGAAGCTCTCCCCTTTGCCCAGCTCTGTTGAAGCAGTGCACCTACTCTTCCACGCTTCCACTCATTCAGCAGAAATTCCAGATCCAACACCAAGCTTAAACATGGCATTTGCAGCTGGTTTGTTTTTAAGGATATTTGCTTTCTTATCAACTGTGGTTTTCTATATTGCCTTCTTTTTATTGTTGGCTTCTTAAAAAAAAATCATGAGCCTGTTTTGTTTCTCTAATGAGTCTGAATTAAGCTATTTTCATTTAGGAGAAATCTACTGAGATTGTCTCCTGTAGTGAATAGGAGGCACTGGTTGGGTTCTGGCTGGGGTCTTGATGAGGCCGTGGTCCCTGCTTGTGGAGGGTTCTTAAGCAAGAGAGAAGAGAAAGTTATTCCACTGTCTCTGCTCTTTTCTAGCTCTTTCTCAGCTCTTTCCTTCTCTTCTCTTTCCCAGCTCTCTTCTCTTTCCTAGCTTGCTCTTTCCCACCTCTTTCCCAGATGCTCTCTTTTCTAGCTCTTTTCTCTCCCTTTCCCAGCCACGTGGAGTGCCAACCTTGCCTGGTCCCAGCAGGTCTACTGAATAAACCTACTCCTTACCTGAATACCACGTGCATGGTGCAGTTCTTACTTGGCTACCTCTTTTTAAAAACCTAACACCTCCCTCTTTTTTTTTTTTTTCCAGTTGTTGGTGGTCATGGGGCTTGAATTCAGGGCCTGGGTGCTATCCCTGAGCTCTTTAGCTCAAGGCTAATGCTCTACCACTTGAGCCACAGCTCTACTTCTGATTACAGGCCTGAGCACACACACCCCCACCCCCACCCCAATCCCTGCCTCTTCTTTGTATTAAAAAAATAAAATAAATAAAAAAGAAAGTTGTTCCTACTGAAAGTGGGGCAGGGGTGATTGATAGGTGAGCCAATAACAGGAAAAAGGAGATGGCACAGTACTAAAAACCCATGTGTGCTTATCTCCAGGCTCTGGAAGAGTTGCTACAAAGGGTTCTGAGGAACTTGCCTCTGATTGGTCAGTCTCTGATGCTCTGGCCCCTCCTCCATGACCTTCCTGGTGAATCACCCTCTTGAACTTTGTACAGAAGAGATCAGATCCCAGCTGCCCTGTGAGAACAGTAACATCTTCCTTCCTCTCAATCTCCAGAAATGTCTTTTCTCCAGGATCCAAGTTTCTTCACCATGGGGATGTGGTCCATTGGTGCAGGTGCCCTGGGGGCTGCGACCCTGGCAGTGCTCCTGGCCAACACAGACCTGTTTCTGTCCAAGCCAAAGAAAGCAACACTGGAGTATCTGGAAGAAATTGATTTAAAGACGCTGGAGAAGGGTAAGGAGCCACTTTGCTAATTTCAGTACTTTTCCAAGGACCCGGCATACAGGCTTGCTCATGTTTACTTCCTAAATTCCTCTTCATTTTTTTTCTTTTTCTTTAAATTATGTTTAAGTAGTGTACAATTCAGCGGGTCAGTTTATGAGTACAATGCATCTTGATCAGCATCATTCCTTTCTTTACTTCTTTTCACTTGAAAAGCCAGGCAATAAGATTAAGGGAATTTTGGTAGAACATTTTGCTTACTTTTTGATTTGGGCCTGTTCCTTTCCATGAGTCCACATAATTATATAGGTGTGATCTTGAAATTAGTGGCTAGTTTATCTTTTTTAAAAAAATCAGAATCATTTTTTTACTCTTATTGTCTCACTAACTGTAATGATAAATTGTCCCATGATAATTTGTAATATTCTACTATCACTTAATAAACCAGCTCTTCCAGAATGTTCTAAGGAATCCCCAGCTTGTGGGCTCTTTACAAAAATAAAAATAGAAAAATAGAAAAAGCAGTGAGTTAAGTCGGCTTGAGGAGTACTCGTTACTCAACAAAGCTTGTTCAACACAGGGTTTCCCAATCTTCTTTGACTTCCATTTCCTTTCCTGCCTTTTAGTTCATGTAATATCTCACAGGCACATGGATGCCTGTGGGAAATACTGAAAGAATTCCTCTCTCTCTCTCTCCCTCCTTCTCTCGCTCTGTCTGGGGTGGGAGGGAAGAGTGTTATTTGAGTTTGAACTCAAGAGCTTTGCACTCATCCAACTTGCTTGTTGATGGCTGGATCTTTACCACATGAGTCATGCCTTCAGTGCTGCTTTTTGCTAGCTATTTTGGAAATGGGGTCTAATGAGCTTTTCTGCCTAAGCTGTCTTCAATTCTCTGTATCTCACTTCTAACTAGGAACCCAACTCCAAGTTTGTTTGTTTTCCTTTTGTGCTGGTAGTGAGGCTTAAGCTTAGGGTTTGGGTGCTTAACCTTTTCCCTCATGACTGGCACAACTCCACTTTCAGCTTTTTTTTTTTTTTTTTGCTGGTAAATTGAAGATAAGAATCTCACAGATTTTTCTGCTTGGATTGGCTTCAAACAATGATCCTAGATCTCTGCTTCCTGAGTGGCAAAGATTATAACCATGAGACACAGATACCTGGCTCAACTTTTTTTTTTCATTTTTATGCTGGTATTAGGGTTTGAACTCAGGGTCTAGGTGCTGTCCTTTAGTGCTTTCACTTAAGGCTACTGCTTTACTACTTTAGCCACATTTCCACTTTCAGCTTAGTGGCTAATTGCAGATAAGAGGTTCACAGACTTATCTGACTGGGCTGGCTTTGAACTGCAATTTTCACATCTCAGCCTCCTGAGTAGTTAGGATTATAAGTGTGAACCAGCACCCACCTCAAAATAATTTCCTAAATAATGTAAAAAGAATTTTTTGGGGTCACTCATAGGCTTGAACTCTGGGCCTGAGTACTGTCCCTCAGCTCTTCAGCTCAATGTGAGCATGTTCTACCACTGAGCCATAGAACCACTTCCAGTTTTCTGGTGGTTTATTGGAGCTAAGAGTCTCATGGACTTTCCTGTTCGGGCTGGCTTTGAACCTCAATCCTCAGATCTCAGCCTCGTGAGTAGGGAGGATTATAGGATTATAGGTTTTAGCCATTGGTGCCTGGCTTATAAAAAATTGTTTTTTAAACTTATGTTTACTTATTCCTTTTGAAAACATGGGTGTGTGTGTGTGTGTGTGTGTGTATGTTGGTATGTTGGGCTAATGTTTTGTTTGGGGAAATTTAGGGGTTCTTTTCAATATTTGTGATTGAACTCACGCTTGCTAGGCAGGTATTCTAGCATTTGAGGCATACCTCCAGATCTTTTTTGGTTTCTGTATTTTTTTTTAAATGGGTCTCCCTAACCTTAGCCTGATCTGACTTTGAACTTGTGATTTTTCTACCTCTTCTTATTGAATAGCTGAGATTACAAGCATGTACTACCATTCCTCATCACTTTGAATAGTTTTAAGATTTTTTTTTCTTTTTTCAAAGTGTAAGACCTTTTTAGTTTTGGCAATATTTCTGCTGCACAGATATTACATGTCTAACAACATTAGCCATTAAGGGAATTGACATTTTACTAGAAATGTCACGATTTGGAACATTCAGTGCCTGGGTTTGACTCAGGGCCTTCCCTGTAACTTGAGCTACATCCCTATCCTTTTTTGCTTAAGTTGTGTTTTAGGATCTCATACATTTTTTTGTGGGCTGATCTTAGACTGATCCCTTTGTCTGTGCTTCCCTAGTAGCTGGGATTACAGCTGGGTGCTATCATAACCCAGCTATTCATTTTTTAATTTGTGCCAGTATTGGGGCTTGAATTCAGCACCTTAAGCTCTCTCGTGGCTTTTTCCACTCAAGGCTGGTGTTCTGCCACTTGAGCTGTATCTCTACTTCCAGCTTTTTGCTGGCTAATTGGAAATAAGAGTCTCATGGACTTTTCTGCCTGGCTGGCTTCAAACCTTGATTGATCCTCAGATCTTCACTTCCTGCATAGCTAGAAGTACTTATTAAAGGTATGAGTCACCAGCACCCAGCTCATCCCTAGCTTTTTTATTGAGATGGAGTCTCACTAGCTTTTTCCCTGGCCTAGCTGCTAACTTCGATCTTTTTTATCTCCACCCGTCAAGTAGGTGGTACTATAGGAGTGATCCACTATGCTGAGCCCTTGAAAATAAATTTTTCTGGGGCAGTGGCCTTTAGAATATACATGCTGTAGAATTCTTAAGTTTTACTAACTTTCCTAAGGAGAATGAGCATTCCTCTCCTGTGCTTGTCTTTTTCCATACATAAAGTACCTGATCTGGTCCTCTCCCATGCCTGGCTCCACTCAGTGTATTTCACATAGGGCTTGGGGAAGAGCTGGGCCGGGCTAGGAAGAGATCCTGAGTTTTCATTTCTTTTCCCTTAGAACCAAGAACTTTCAAAGCAAAGGAACTATGGCAGAAGAGGGGAGCCGTGATTATGGCTGTGCGTCGGCCAGGTTGTTTTCTCTGTCGAGAGGTAAGTGAATTTTGAGAATCTGATCAGAGAAGAAGATCCCAACAAATGTCCCCAGGAGCATTCAGCCAGGACCAAGGGCCGCCTGTCAGTGCACTCACCTTTATTCAGCCCTGACTAGTCTCTGTTACTTACTCTCCATGTTTATTTTAACAGGTTCTGTTCTTGCCTTTTAATCTCACCATCTCCTCCTGGGCTTAGCAACATACTTCCTCTGGTACTTGCAAGGTGTGTGGAAGTAGCTGTGTCTTAGACTAGATTCCCATTGGACTGCAGCGGTCCTAGGGCCCTTTTCTGTGTTCCTGATGGTGTGCACAGACGCATGTGGCCAGCAGGGTCTGCAGCACTGCTCATACTGCTTGGTCTATAGTGAAGCTGCAGCATGTGGCTCCCCGCAAGGTCAAACTCTTAAGGACACACCTATCTGCCTGCCCTCCCCTTGGGGGCATGCCTGGTTCTGTCACCAAGTTGGAGCTCATCAGCTGGGTCAGCTTCAGGTTGGCCTCTCGATGGGAAGCCATCATCGTCTCTGTGGTAAGGTATCTTATCAAGGGAAAGCAAGAGTTCTGCTCAGCCTTGTAAAATAAGGCTGATGGGTAAAACAAGGGTCAGAGCCAGGTACTGGTGGCTTACACCTGTAATCCTAGCTACTCTTGGATGATTTGAAATCAGCCCTGGCAGGAAAGCTATTCCATACTTATCTCCAATCACGACACACACACACACACACACACACACACACACACACAGGAAAGCTATTCCATACTTATCTCCAATCACGACACACACACACACACACACACACACACACACACACACACACACCCTGGAAGTGGAGTTATAGTTCAAGAGGTACACACACACACACACACACACACACACACACACCCTGGAAGTGGAGTTATAGTTCAAGAGGTAGAGGGCCAATCTTGAGTGAAAAAGCTAAGGGACAGCACCCAGACCCTGAGTTCAAGTCCCATTAGTGGCACAAAGAACAAAAAAGAACAAAGACCAGAATGGATTGAGGACTTACCCAGGTGTTTGTAAAAGCCTGAAGTTCAGAGACTTCTGACTTGTCAGAGGAAGCTGGCATCGATAATATTCTTGCCCTTGAGCCAGGTAGCTCTGTTGACTCTGTCTGGGGTCATTCTCATTCCCCTGGTTGCTCAGGCCAACCCGACAGGATATTCTTGTCAGCCCTGCTGGCCTTTTACCCTTCAGTGCCTCCCTTCTGGCACTTGCATTTCTGTTGTCTTGCAGGCTTTTCCCCTCCTTATCTCTTGGCAGTACAACCTGAAGTTACTATTCCCATTTTATGAAAAAGGAGAAGCTTGGTGGTGCAGACGCTATAGTCAAGCCACATTGCCTGGAGAGGTGTATTAATTGCCTCTTGCCTTCTAACAAATTGCTGTATAGAACATAGTTATTTTACAGTGCTGGAGATCAGAATTCCAATATGGACTCTGGCTGCATTCCTCCCAGACACAGTAGCAGGAATCTGTTTTATCTTTTCCAGCTTCTAGAGGCTGCCAGTATTCCTTTGCTTGTGGCCCCTTCCTTTAGTTGGAAAGTTAGCAATAGCTGGCCATGTTCAGGTCACGCTGTGTCTCTGTGACACCAACTTTTCTTAATCTCTTTTTTTTTTTCTTTGTCTGGTTGTGGGTCTTGAACTCTGGGCATGGGCTCCATCCCTGAGCTCTTCAGCTCAAGGACAGTGCTCTACCACTTGAGCCACAGTGCCATTTCTGGTTTCCTGGTGGTTAATTGGAGATAAAAGTCTCACAGACTTTCCTGCCCGGGCTGGCTTTGAACCAATCCTCAGATTTCAGCCTCCTGAGTAGGTAGGATTACAGGCCTGAGCCACTGGTGCCCAGCATGGATCTCTTTTGCACATTTAAGGACCTTGGTGATTACATTGGGTCAAGTCATATAACTTATGATCATCTTTTTTTTTTTTGGGGGTCCAGTCGTGGGGCCTGAACTCTGGGCCTGGGCGCTGTCCCTCAGCTCTTCAGCTCAAGGCTAGCGCTCTACCACTTGA